TGCAGTGGAGCTGGTGCTCTACTCCGTGGACGTTTGGCTCCACTGACACTGATGCGACCCTGCTGCTGTCTCCTGGGCAACCCACCGACTGTTTTGCTCGCTGCCAAGCTGCCACCCTCTTCTCCTGATGATGCGGAAGAAATTGCCTGATGACGACGAGGCTGCCAAGTGCGATCAACCTCCTCATCATCAAGTAGGGTCTCCGCCTCACTACTAGCCCCCTCGGCTGCGTCTGGGTCAGGAGACAGACCTGTCTCTAGACCGGCTACCGAGCCACTCTCCTCGCCAGTACTTGTTCGCTTGGCTGCTGAAAAGGCCGATGTCTCCCCCCGTTCCTGACCGCCCTCTGTTAGCTCTTCCTCACTGTACAGTGGGGCTGAGCCCACAGCATGCGATACTTCGCTTGGTGAGGGAACAGCAAAGGACAGGGGCAGGTAGAGGACACGTGATTTCAGTGGGCTTGGTCCCGGGCCATGCCAACTAACGGTTGTGTCTGACGTACCCACCGACCGTTGGCTGTAGGTGTCAGAGGTGACCTGGGAAGAGGAAGACGACCGAGCCAACCAATCAATGACGGCAGGGTTGTCGGTGGAGACACGACCGCTGGATGACACCGGGAGCACTGGCCTCTGGCTGCGAATACTGCTGCCTCGACCCCTTCCTCTGCTGCCACGTCTGCTCGCTCCTAAAACATTGCCTCCTCTGCCACTCCTCTGCATGTTGTCTGACATACTATTTAATTCAACGATTAGGTGTCCCTGAGTAACAATTCTCTGGCACTCAGTAACAATTCTGTCTGTCCCTGAGTATGAATTCTGTGGCCCTGAGTAACAATTCTGTGTCTGTGCGAGTAACAATTCTGTGTCTGTGCGAGTAACAATTCTGTGTCTGTGCAAGTAACAATTTTGTGTCTGTGCGAGTAACAATTCTCTGGCACTCAGTAACAATTCTGTCTGTCCCTGAGTAACAATTCTCTGGCACTCAGTAACAATTCTGTCTGTCCCTGAGTAACAATTCTCTGGCACTCAGTAACAATTCTGTCTGTCCCTGAGTATGAATTCTGTGGCCCTGAGTAACAATTCTGTGTCTGTGCGAGTAACAATTCTGTGTCTGTGCAAGTAACAATTTTGTGTCTGTGCGAGTAACAATTCTCTGGCACTCAGTAACAATTCTGTCTGTCCCTGAGTAACAATTCTCTGGCACTCAGTAACAATTCTGTCTGTCCCTGAGTAACAATTCTCTGGCACTCCTGAGTAACAATTCTGTCTGTCCCTGAGTAACAATTCTGTGTCTGTGGCAAGTAACAATTCTGTGTCTGTGCGAGTAACAATTCTGTGTCACTCAAGTAACAATTCTGTGTCTGTGAGTAACAATTCTCTGGCACTCAGTAACAATTCTGTCTGTCCCTGAGTAACAATTCTCTGGCACTCAGTAACAATTCTGTCTGTCCCTGAGTAACAATTCTCTGGCACTCAGTAACAATTCTGTCTGTCCCTGAGTAACAATTCTCTGGCACTCAGTAACAATTCTGTCTGTCCCTGAGTAACAATTCTCTGCACTCAGTAACTCTGAGTAACAAGTAACAATTCTGTCTGTCCCTGAGAACAATTCTGTGGCCCTGAGTAACAATTCTGTGTCTGTGAGTAACAATTCTGTGTCTGTGCAGTAACAATTTCTGTGTCTGTCTGAGTAACAATTCTGTGCACTCAGTAACATTTCTGTCTGTGTCTTCTCTCCCTGAGTAACAATTCTGTCTGGCACTCAGTAACAATTCTGTCTGTCCCTGAGTAACAATTCTCTGGCACTCAGTAACAATTCTGTCTGTCCCTGAGTAACAATTCTCTGGCACTCAGTAACAATTCTGTCTGTCCCTGGAGAGTAACAATTCTGTGGCCTGAGTAACAATTCTGTGTCTGTGAGAGTAACAATTCTGTGTCTGTGCAAGTAACAATTTTGTGTCTGTGCTGAGAGTAACAATTCTCTGGCACTCAGTAACAATTCTGTCTGTCCCTGAGTAACAATTCTCTGGCACTCAGTAACAATTCTGTCTGTCCCTGAGTAACAATTCTCTGGCACTCAGTAACAATTCTGTCTGTCCCTGAGTATGAATTCTGTGGCCCTGAGTTACAATTCTGTGTCTGTGAGTAACAAGTAACAACAATTTCTGTGTCTGTGCAAGTAACAATTTTGTGTCTGTGCGAGAGTAACAATTCTCTGGCACTCAGTAACAATTCTGTCTGTCCCTGAGTAACAATTCTCTGGCACTCAGTAACAATTCTGTCTGTCCCTGAGTAACAATTCTCTGGCACTCAGTAACAATTCTGTCTGTCCCTGAGTAACAAACAGTAACAATTCTGTCTGTCCCTGAGTATTGAATTCTGTGGCCCTGAGTAACAATTCTGTGTCTGTGCGAGTAACAATTCTGTGTCTGTGCAAGTAACAATTTTGTGTCTGTGCGAGTAACAATTCTCTGGCACTCAGTAACAATTCTGTCTGTCCCTGAGTAACAATTCTCTGGCACTCAGTAACAATTCTGTCTGTCCCTGAGTAACAATTCTCTGGCACTCAGTAACAATTCTGTCTGTCCCTGAGTATGAATTCTCTGGCCCTGAGTAACAATTCTGTGTCTGTGCGAGTAACAATTCTGTGTCTGTGCAAGTAACAATTTTGTGTCTGTGCGAGTAACAATTCTCTGGCACTCAGTAAACATTCTTCTGTGTCCCTGAGTAACAATTCTCTGGCACTCAGTAACAATTCTGTCTGTCCCTGAGTAACAATTCTCTGGCACTCAGTAACAATTCTGTCTGTCCCTGAGTAACAATTTCTCTGGCACTCAGTAACAATTCTGTCTGTCCCTGAGTAACAATTCTGTGTCCCTGAGTAACAATTCTGTGTCTGTGTGAGTAACAATTCTGTGCCTCTGTGAGTAACAATTCTGTGTCTGTGTAACAATTCTCTGTAACAATTTTCTGTCTGTGCGAGTAACAATTCTCTGGCACTCAGTAACAATTCTGTCTGTCCCTGAGTAACAATTCTCTGGCACTCAGTAACAATTCTGTCTGTCCCTGAGTAACAATTCTCTGGCACTCAGTAACAATTCTGTCTGTCCCTGAGTAACAATTCTCTGGCACTCAGTAACAATTCTGTCTGTCCCTGAGTATGAATTCTGTGGCCCTGAGTAACAATTCTGTCTGTGCGAGTAACATTCTCTTCTGCAGTAACAAGTAACAATTCTGTGTCTGTGAGTAACAATTCTCTGGCACTCAGTAACAATTCTGTCTGTCCCTGAGTAACAATTCTCTGGCACTCAGTAACAATTCTGTCTGTCCCTGAGTAACAATTCTCTGGCACTCAGTAACAATTCTGTCTGTCCCTGAGTAACAATTCTCTGGCACTCAGTAACAATTCTGTCCTGAGTAACAATTCTCTGGCACTCAGTAACAATTTCTGTCTGGCTGAGTAAATTCTCTGGCAGTAACAATTCTGTCTGTCCCTGAGTAACAATTCTCTGGCACTCAGTAACAATTCTGTCTGTCCCTGAGTAACAATTTGTCTGGCCCTGAGTATGAATTCTGTCTGTCCCTGAGTAAGAATTCTCTGGCACTCAGTAACAATTCTGTCTGTCCCTGAGTAACAATTCTCTGGCACTCAGTAACAATTCTGTCTGTCCCTGAGTAACAATTCTTCTGTCTGTCCCTCTGGCCCTGAGTAAAAATTCTGTGGCCCTAATAACGTTTCTGTGGCCCTAAGTAACAATCTCTGGCACTGAGTGAAAATTCTGTCTGTCCCTGAGTAGAGTATGAATTCTGTGGCCCTAACTAGCGTTTCTTTGTCCCTAAATAACGATTCTGTGGCCCTCATTAACAAGTCTGTGTCCCTGAGTAATGGTTCTCTGTCCCTAAGTAACTTCTCTCTGTCCCCAATTCTCGTTTCTGTGGCCCTAACTCTGTCCCTGTCCCTAGTACAGAGCGGTCTGCCTCTGTTCAATGACTGCAGGCAAATGAAGATTTCCAAAATGGCCGCTATATATACCTCGACCATTACACAGTGCTGGCTGGCTGGCTGCTGATTGGCTGATGCGATCACATGTCGTTGAGGAATGCATTATGGGGCAGCGCGCCTTGTCTGCGCGCCTTCCCCGACATCCCCGCTCCGTCGCCGCACATGTCAGCCGCCATTTTCGGAAAAATTTCGATTCGCGCGTCCGAATTAGGCTGTTTTTCGGATTCGGCACGAATCGAAATTTTTCCGATATTCGACTCGAATTCCACTTCGGATACTTCGATTCGCTCATTCTGTATAAATTTACCCTTTGCAAATCTTTTTGTTACTGGAACAGATAGTGATGGGACATACAGCATTTTGCAATTGTAACTTTGACCCCTTTGAGCAGGCGCCTCCCGGCCCTTTAAGAGTTTCAGAAGCCGGGATGCAGGAAGGTTTTTAGGGTCATGTGACCGCCGTGATTCGCCATCCAAGATTAACATTACCTAATCTAATGAGAATACTAAAATAATATGGAGAACTATAAAATTTGAAAATAATTAAGTCAGAGATATTAAATATCAATGTTCCGAGGACAGAGAAACAGGCCTTACAGAAAGAATTTCCTTTCAGGAAATGGAGGGAAAATGAGTATAATGAATATTATTTGGGAATAAAGTTAACCCCGTCTTTAAAAGACTTATATCAGGTAAATTACATTCCACTAATAAATGAGATAAGGATGAACTGAGAAAAATTTCCTTATTATCGCTTTCCTGGATTGGACAAATATGGAGTAGCCGGCCCAGTATTCCCCCCATGTTAGAATACTGGGCTGGCCGCTCGGCTCTTCTCTGCAGACTTCCAGTGATCCTACCTGTTCCTTGGTCCAGTGGTGTCCTCAGTCTTCTGTCTTGCGACTTCACAGCCGGGTGGCCACTGCTCATGCGCGAGAAGCCCTGTAATCTTTTGGGACCTGTCCCGTGTCCCAGAAGATTACGGGGAGGGAGGGGGAAGGACAACTCCATGTAAGTGGGAGCAGGTACCTGTCAAATTCGGGTACGCGCTCCCCCCCTTCGCAAAGGTCCGCAGTCTCTGGTCATCTTCTGTACTATGTCCGCAGTCTCTGGTCATCTCCAGTACTATGTCCGCAGTCTCTGGTCATCTCCTGTACTGTGTCCGCAGTCTCTGGTCATCTCCTGTAGTATGTCTGCAGTCTCTGGTCATCTCTTGTACTATGTCCACAGTCTCTGGTCATCTCCTGTACTATGTCCACAGTCTCTGGTCATCTATATTATGTCAGCAGTCTCTGGTCATCTCCTGTAGTATGTCCACAGTCTCTGGTCATCTCCTGTACTATGTCCACAGTCTCTGGTCATCTGTACTATGTCCGCAGTCTCTGGGTTTTTCCTGTACTATGTCCGCAGTCTCTGGTCATCTATATTATGTCAGCAGTCTCTGGTCATCTCCTGTACTGTGTCCGTAGTCTCTGGTCATCTCCGGTAGTATGTCCGCAGTCTCTGGTCATCTCTTGTACTATGTCCGCAGTCTATGGTCACCTCCTGTACTATGTCCGCAGTCTCTGGTCATCTCCTGTACTGTGTCTGCAGTCTCTAGTCATCACCTGTACTATGTCCGCAGTCTTTGGTCATCTCCTGCACTATGTCTGCAGTCTCTGGTCATCTCTTGTACTATGTCCGCAGTCTCTGGTCATCTCCTGTACTATGTCCGCAGTCTCTGGTCATCTCCTGTACTATGTCCGCAGTCTCTGTTCATCTCCTGTACTATGTCTGCAGTCCATTGGTTCAGAATATTTTTTTCTCTTTTTTCCTCCTCTAAAATCTAGGTGCATCTTATGGTCAGGTGCGCCTTATGGAGCGAAAAATACGGTAAATATGATCAAGATGGTGAAATATGAGGTGTTGTGTAAAGACAAAGCAAAAGGGGTGTTAAAAGTGCCAAACATTAAGAGATATCATGAATATCAGATTGGATATATAACTCACGGGAGAAAAGTTGGGTAGAAATTGAAAGTACACTAAATGAGTCACAGTTAGATAGGATTATTTGGCTTCCACAACATTTTCACACGTTTGCTGAAAATACAAGTATTTTAACATGGATTGTAATTAGGGTATGGGATGTTATTCATAAGCAAATGGGATGGGAATACAACTCACTGTTGATACTGTTGGTGGGAACAGATTTTTTTTCCACTGGGGAATGATAATATTTCTGGAAAATGGATAAAAGATAGAAATGCACGGTTAAAAGATATCACAGAAAATGGGAATTATGTTATTTTCAAGATTTAAAAAACAAAAAGGATCTATTTTTTAAGTTGGACGAATGGTGGTATTATCAAATAAGACATTTTGTTGCAGCGCTCCCGCAGCCATTAAGGGTGGGGTAGGATACGCATCCACTTCAACAGATGTTTAGTTCAGATATAATGCAAAAACATGCTGCCTCTTGCATCTATAAGATTCTTAGTACAATATCAGGACTTGTTTCTCCACCATTTATGGACAAATGGGAAAGGGAACTTGGAACAAAATTGAGTGGGCAGCAAACAAAGAAAATATTTAAATTAACACATGGTGCGGTGGATATGAATATTGTTGAAATGAATTATAAATGTTTAGTAAATGGTATATCACACCTAGTGTAGCACATAAACAAGGATGTGAGAATTCACCTTTATGTTGAAGGGGGTGTGGGATCAAGGGAACAATGGCACACATATGGTGGGATTGCCCCATGATACAGGAGTTCTGGCAAGAGATAATCCAACAAATACAGGAAATACTGGGGTATAGCATTTTGAGAGACCCTTGGATTTTGTTTATTCCACAATACCTAGTTTACAGTGAAAAAATATAAGACAACATTGCTATTTCATTTGATAAATGCAGCTAAAGGATTGATCCCTAGATTTTGGCATGTGCAAGAGATCTCAAAAACAAAATATTGGATAAATAGAGTGGAATATAAATACAGGATGGAGGAACTATATCATATTGGAGAGGATAAAGTTGAAAAATTTTAAAAAACACAGGAAAGATGGTGTGAGTTTAAAACATCAAAGAGATATCTACAACTGGTTGGAGTTTAAAAAATAGGGAAAGATATATAAAAGGAAAGAAGGTCCTGAAGGTATTTGTGAAAATATTCCTTCTTTCTTTGTGTCACTCATGTCTGTATGTGTGCAGTTTCTGTGACATCTTCATGGAAACAGAAACCGGGAGCATAACAGTAAGTATCACCCTGCTCTGTAAAGGGTTGGTGGAGGACCTGAAATGCACCAATCAAAAGATATTTTCTTTTGCTGTAATGGATGACTATACTTTTTGTATCAATAGAAATAGCTATTTAAAAAACCTGTATAATTATCTGCACTATTTCAATTAAAACTTTCACTACAGCCTATATTTTTGGATTGCTGACCGATCACACTTGCATGGGCTTGATAGAAAACCCATTTCAAAACCATGCGTATAAATATGACAACCCCCCCCCCCCCCCCCCCATTTGCAACTACTTTTTGGGAAGGCTTTCCACAAACAATTACAGCATGTTAGTGGTAATATATGCCTGTTTAGCAATAAAGAGCATTTGTAATGTTAAAGTGTTACTAAACCCACAACAGTAAAATAAGCCTGTACGGTATGTGCAGTAAAGCATGCTTGTTATACTCACTGTGGAACCTAAGAGGTTAATACTCTACATTGTGTAAAATGGCCATTTGATCCTGTTTTCTCTGCCCCTCCTCTTGTTCAAATGTCCATGTCTTATCTCCTGATAAGACAGACTGAATCCTTAGCCATTCTGCACATACTCAGTTTAGTGTGTATCACTAGAGAGGTTTTATTTTTCTTGGGAGAGTGCATGTGATCAGCACAAGGACAATCAGCAATGTCCAGACAGAGGGTCAGGGGTTTTGTATCCTCCTAGAGCAGAAAGAAAAAACGCCTTCTACAAGCTTTAACCAGTGCTCTGCTGAAGTCACAAGACTGCTCTAACTGCTGATGAGAAAAGGTATTTAGCAGCTTATATTTACTAAAATAATTGCACTTCTATGTTCTTTGTACTGTGGGAGACCAGATAGAGGGAATGCAGAGTCCTGGGTTTAGTAACACTTTAAGTACTGGTGTTGGATAAGTACATCTGACTCACAATCAGCATTCAAGTTTATCTCAAATGTGTTAATCCCCTTCCTGCGGAGTGTATGCAAATATGCGGCCCCACGGGACTTTTTTTCCATGGGGCCACATGTATGCGTTTCTGTCTTTGTGCTGGGAGCGCACTAAATGGCAGCACAGAGACCAGGGTTTCACCAAGAGCCCCGAGTCCTGTACTAACAATCGGTACCTGAAACTCCTGATTTCGGTTCACCTGATTACTGTGTTAGCCTCTGATTGGCTATTACAGTGATCAGTCACTGTGAAGCCTGCCCCCCATGTTTTCTCTCCGTGAATGGAGGAAAGAGGTACATTGTATTTCAGGGAGAAAAAAAACCCCTGACAGTGTGTAAAAAAAAATAAAAAATAATAATAAAATAAAAAAATACCTAGACAAGGTTTGATCCAGGTCAGTGCCAGGGTTAGTGATTGGGTCAACGTCAGGGTCAGTATTTTTTGGGCCATTTCACTGCCGAACACTTTTACCCCGTTCTTGCCTAGGCCAATTTTAAGCTTTCAGGGCATGGTCATGCAACACTGTACCCAAACTAAATTTTTATCATTTTGTTCACACAACTAGAGCTTTCTTTTGGTGATATTTAATCATCCTTGGGTTTCTTAATTTTTGCTAAATAAATTAAAAGAAACTGAACGTTTTTTTTTTAGTTTCTGTTATAAAACTTTGCAAATAAATAATTGTTCTTCATAAATGTAGGCCAAAATTAATACTGCTACATTTATTTGGTGAAAATAACCCAAATAAGTATATATTATTTATAGGAAAAGTTTAGAGTCCACAAACTATGGTTTATATCTGAAAATCGATCAATCCTGATGTGCTGACGGCCTATCACTTTTCCCGAGGCCCAAAAATGTCAGGACAGTACAAATATCCCAAAATTACCCCTTTTTGGAAAGTTGGCAGCCTGAGATATTTAGTAAGAGGCATGGTGAGTCTTTTTAAGTTGAAATATTTTGTAATTTATGTTGGAAATTTAAGAAATTAAAAAAAAAAAAATTCACAATGTTTTTTTCCATACAGTCACCAATGCAGTACAATGTCATCATATGACTGGTGTGGCGGTAATTAGGGACACTGGCGACAGTATGAAAAAATATTTGTTTCTTTTTCTTCTTTTATTACATTTATTTTCTTTTTTTACAATTTATTTTATAACACACTGTCACCAGAGTAATATAATGTTACCATAGTAACATAGTACTACTCTGGGGAAGTGATCAGTATTTTTTTTTTGCACATTATGATTGCTTATAGCAATGAATTTATAATGTATATTGGGGTTGGCTGAAAGTATGTAAACACTTCATGATTTGCAGGTGTGAAAGTGACAGCATGTTTCACATTGAAAGCGCAAGTGATGTAACATTCTTTTGCTTCCGCTGTGTGATGAGACACCTAGCTAAATGTGGAAAGCCTTACTTTCATTATTCACTGCGTGCGCTGCTAGTAATACAGAGCCATTTCAGAGCTTACGAGTTTCAAAGGGCAAATTGTTGATGCCTGATTAGCTGGTGCCTTTGTGACTGAAGATGCCAATTTATTTGCCATGTCGTGCGGTACAGTATCAAAGATTATGATGGCATATACAGTTTATGATAAGCATAAACATGGTCGACTTGGTCAACTGACCAAAAGAGACAAAAGGACACTGCACAGGATTGTGACCCAGAACAAGAAAACAACTGCTGCAAAAGCGACTGCAGAGCTCAATTTCAGTCTTCCAAAGCCTGTGTCCACAAAAACTGTGCAGAGGGAACTCCATAAGCAAAACATTCACGGGTGAACTGCGATTGCTAAACCACTAGTGACTGATATTAATAATCAGAAGAGGAGAGAGTGGTGCAACACCCACATGGTCCAATGAATTGAGTTTCACATTGTTCCCAAGCACCAGATGTGTTTATGTGTAGCGGACACCGTCCCAAGCTTACGACCAGGACTGTCTTGTGCCAGCAGTAAAGCATGGTGGTGGCGCAATCATGGTTTGGGTAGCCATATCTTGGTATTCTGCAGGCCCCATCATCATGTTGAAAGGTAGAGCCACTGCCAGTGATTATGTATACATTTTGTGTACCCCATGGTGTAAACATTGTTTCCCGAAGACAGCACCATTTATCAAGACGATAATGCTCAGATTTAC